AAACACTGAACTCACTCTTAGATATTTTATCCTATTTGATCTCAACAAGTGGCAGGTATTATTACTATGCCCATTTTGTAAGCCAGAATACTAAGGCACATGTCCTAAAAGATACTTCACCAAACATTTCTCTTTAAACATTTAGAAGAAGATATTTTTGTTTATGTAAATACCAAAGCTGGTGAGTCTTTATGTTAAAAGAGTTACAAACTGGTTTACATACATTTTCAGGTCCACTTTAGTGCTAAAGTTTAACAAGTACTGCTGGACAGCACATTGTGAATAGCAAAAACATAAAGTTATTGTTTATCATAATAATACATAAAAATCTAGAAACAGGACTTGTTAGTTTGCTAAATAGGTGGGAAGAAATTGATTCAAGTTGTAAACCTAAAATAACATTATGTTGGGGAAGAAAGAAAATAGTACTAAAGTATTGGCCATTTTTCTGATCATTGCTAACTGATGATAACCCGTAACTTTCTGCAGCACGTAGGTAAATGGTATTTTCTTAATAGCATCTGGAATGTTTTCCATTATGTTCCTTTTAGTCATAATGGAATATGACAGAATAACTCCTTTCAGTTACGGTATTATATATTTGCCTTGCAATATTTATATTTGCAAAGGAATAAATTGAGAGATCCCAGTGCTTATCTGTTAAGTGGTGAACCCCAAGCAGAAAATGACAGATTGTTGAACTTATGTGACTCTTAATACCAGTATGAGCAAACCCTCATGTAAGTGGGAAAATAAAACCAAGAAGTCATTGTTACTTTCAACAGCATCAACCTTACCAGACTTGCCACCTTTGAAAGAATGAATAGAAGGTGAGCTGCTGAACACTGAGCATTATTCACGTCATGAGGCCTCAGAAGTTAAATACTGTGCTTTGAAAAAAGAACTGTAACAATAAACCTCACATTCGCGTTCGGATCTTTGTTTTGTTGACAGTGTTTAATTGATGCACATTGCATCATAACTACATTAGGCATGTTAATATGGACTAAGTGTAGCATGGAAGCAGATCTTCCTCTTCACTGGATTTTCTAGGTCTGTGACCTCAGTTTTTCCTAGTAATAAGTAAAAACACTTAGATTGTAAATTTTCTAAGTGTGCACCTGCAGTATGCTTAGTTGACTGAATAGTTATTGATAGCAAATGTATTCATCTCATTTGGACTTAGCACATTGTGTTTCACAAGTGTATTTGGAGTGGGAAAACAGCGTCTAATGAAAGCCACAGGAGATTTTGACATACTGTTCAAAAATTGGTATTACCATTACTATTTTCTTCTGCGTTTATTTTGGCCCCTACCTGTATTAGATACTTTAAAGATGAATTTGCAGTTGGCTTGCCTTAGCTTGTTACTGGGCCTCACACTGGGTTTGTGACAGGTAGACTGGCAGACAGTATGAAATTTGAAGATGGTGGATTGAATTTTGTGCTTTAAGCGCCACAGAACAGCTGAAACTGAATTGCCATCTTCTTTCCTACTTAAATTTTTATTTTTATCATCTTTTAGGCACTCAAGGAGTTGCCCCTGGTCCTGTAATTGGACTCCAGGCACCATCTACTGGTCTTCTTGGCGCCCGGCCCGGTCTCATCCCGCTCCAGCGCCCTCCGGGAATGCCCCCACCTCACTTACAGCGGTTCCCTCTGATGCCGCCCCGTCCCCTGCCGCCGCACATGATGCACAGAGGCCCACCGCCAGGACCAGCGGGCTTTGCGATGCCTCCGCCTCACGGAATGAAAGGTCCCTTCCCACCGCATGGCCCCTTTGTTAGGCCTGGTGGAATGCCAGGGCTCGGGGGCCCAGGGCCAGGCCCAGGGGGCCCTGAAGACAGAGACGGAAGGCAACAGCCGCCGCAGCAGCAACAGCAGCCACAGCCGCAGCCGCAGCCGCCCCAGCAACCGCAGCAACAGCAGCAGCAGCAGCAGCAGCCGCCACCATCACAACAGCCTCCACCAACACAGCAGCAGCCGCAGCAGTTTAGAAATGATAACAGGCAGCAATTCAATTCAGGTAGAGACCAAGAAAGGTTTGGAAGAAGATCTTTCGGAAATCGGGTGGAAAATGACCGGGAACGGTATGGGAACCGTAATGATGATAGAGATAATAGTAACCGTGACAGGAGAGAGTGGGGAAGGAGGAGCCCTGACCGGGACAGGCACAGAGACTTGGAAGACAGAAATAGACGCTCTAGTGGGCATCGAGACAGAGAGAGAGATTCTAGAGATAGAGAGTCTCGTAGAGAGAAGGAAGAGACCCGAGGAAAGGAAAAGCCTGAGGTGACAGACAGGTCAGGTGGTAACAAAACCATTGAACCTCCCATTAGCCAAGTGGGAAGTGTAGACACTGCTTCAGAACTTGAGAAGGGGGAGTCTGAGGCCGCAGTCCTAAAGCCTTCTGAAGAGTTACCTGCTGAGGCTACCTCATCCGTTGAACCCGAAAAGGATTCTGGCTCAGCAGCAGAGGCTCCTCGTTAGAGACTGGAATTTGTGAAAATGTGACAGTGACACTTCCTGGAGTGTAGAGCTTGAGGTGTACAGATGCTGTATTATATCTGCTCCCGCTGTACTGCAGCCCCGCGCCAGCTGGTGGGGAACTGTAAGCAATTTGATTGCTTCCCTTCTATTTAAAAATAGCCACAAAATAACAAAAAATACTGAAAATATGAATAAATATTACCCTTTTTGCTGTAACTTTTTAAAAGTTTTGACTTTAAAAAGTTTACAAATCGTAATTAGAAGTGCTCTCTATTTTTTTTTTTTTTTAATTTAAGACAAGGTAACGGTGAAAGCTCCTCAAAACAATAGGGATGTTTTTAATAAACTCTATTTTCGTAACAAACTTTAATGTGTGCTATTCTTCCTACACTGCATTAAGGTGGAAAAGGATTGTTCACCGTCAAAGTTTGATCTGTTAATACTGTATTGGAGTCTAAATTAGACTTACCTGATGGAAACAGACACTTTACGTAGTTATTCTCACTTGCATATGTAATGCTTTTGATTTTTAGGTAAAGGTTAGTTGTTTTAATGTCAATTGAAAAACTGTTTGCAATTCAGTCAGTTTTCTTTTTTCCTCATTGGCTTTGTGGTAAATGTTGCCCTAATTAATTTGTAAGGAGATTTTGCTGGAGGAAGTTAGATCCCAGTGTTATGAGTTATACTACAAATTCTTTGATTGCCTGGGTATTACGTTAGAAGGTTGCGTGTATATATATTTTTTACCATCCCATTAAATTTTTCAAAAGGGTAAAAGAATCAAGGTCAACATTTGCAACCTAAAAGCTTTTTGTTGTACATTTGAGGACTTCACTGCAACCTATTGTTTTCTTATATAAGCCTTGCCTGTTGCCTTTACCAGTTTTTTAATTCCCCTGCTGGGCAGAGGTAAACTGAACTTTTTCCCCACATATACTTTCTTTTGCTTAAAGTTGCTGGGTTAACTAGGAAAAATCATAGGTTTTCCAAGAATTATCACATGAATACATTCAAAGCCAAGCCAAGCCTTCATCTGAAATTAAAGGAAATCCAGTGCCAAGATCTGATGTCATACTATCCAAGTATTTATGGCCTCAAAGTTGTTTTTAATTAAACCCTGAGTTTCAGTGTGCTGAGCAGTTAACTTTGCCTTCATCCTCGGGCAAAGCTGCTTCATTACTCCAGTTTTTAAGTAAGACCTTTGATTTGATAGGGAGAATATATCTAAGGCAATGTCCTTATATTCCTGCTTTTAGAAAATGAGAGGAAATTGTTTGTGAATTTAGAGAACTTGTCCTTAATTTTACACTGTCCCACTGAGAAGTTTAAAAGTCCTAACAAATGGGCTTCTGGAAGAAAACATGATTACCCAACATCCAGACTTCAAGGACTTACAGCCTGTACTTCCAATTGAAAGTACTGAGACCATCCTGTGTCTCACACTCACATGAATAAGCTACTGCTAGTACGATTTTACATGTGAAGCTTTAAAAGGCTTAAGTCAGTCTCTGTATTTGAGTTATTCCACATGTGCAACAAACTGCATTAGGGAAATCTGTTAAATGCTGTTTTTTAAAGATTCTCCACCAAGATTTAAAGGATGGTGGTTTTCACCACTTACTGTGAGCATATTCTTTATTGTAATTTTAAAACTTTGGAAACACTACCAATTTGTCTTCAGTTTAGCTTTTCCTCTCCTAAATCATGTTACATTTGATAAAGTACATATTTATGAACAAACAGGATTGTCACTTATTCCTGGTTTATCAGAAATAATTTCCAGTGGAATAGTCAAACCTGAATTAACATTTAAAAGCATTCTCTCACAGGTACATGAGAAAATGACTCAATTTCACTAATTCGGTGTGTAAATTTTTAAACAGCCAGAACCTACAATAAAACATTGCCTTTGTTCCATCTTCTAATGCTACAGATTTCTTTAAAGGGCTCATCTGTAAGTAGGTTGTGCCGATCTCCACCCTTGAATGTAGAATTCGTGCCATTCTGGCACATAGATAATCTTATTAGCTAGCTGAGGCTAAATGTTATCAATGGCTCCTACGCTATAACATCTTTTTAAAATGAGGTCCTTTATGAATGCTAAAATGACTATGCAGGGACATTTCCCTAAAGCTTACAAAGGACAGCCTATTAGTCTAAGCAGTTAGTTTCAGCTAAAAGACCTGCTGTTTAAAAAATAGGCATTTTGATGGTCTCAAAACACTTTCAAAATAAAACACTATCAATTATCAGAGCTAATTTAGTTTGAATTGGATTATTTAATAGGCTCAAAATAGGTGCCATACGGGGTGTTTATTCCCAGGCTTGAATGAGAACTGAAATTCTGACAAGTTTAATACCCATCTGTGATTAAGTCTGGCAAAGTACAGGTCACTGAAACATTTTAATGTGAGGTTTATAAAACTATACAAATCTTCCAAGTGATCATAAACCAGTTTCTCATTAGAGGTACTTTAAAGCAACTTTTTTTTTCAAAATCACACTTAAAATGACGCTTTTAAGATTACAGTGTTTAATGTCAAGTTACATTTCTACAGCTAGCCAGGATAACAGATGAGTTAATGGGACTCAGACTACATCCAGGGCAATGTTTACTGGGCGATCCCAATGACACCACAAGCCAAACGACTTCCAGCGTTTCCTGTCTTTGTACTTTCTTCATTTCCACCTTTGCCCAAGTCATCTGCTTTTTCATGGACCTGTAAAAAATTTTAAGAAGATAACTTTGGGCTGTCAAGTAATCACTACCTCTTCCCAACAATACCCAAAAGATGTTTAAGAACCTTGTAATATTAGAAAAATAACATTAATCCTACTAGTAGAGAAATATACTAATATTTAGTAGTTTAAAAGTAGAAACTCCTACTAAAGGCTTTGTCTACGTGTTGCAAAGACATTACCTTTAAACAGTAGGTAAGTGTTGCTGTATCTAAATGAAATACTAAAAACCCAAGTAACTGTGTCGTAGACCACCATGCTACTCTTAATCCTCCATAAATTATAGTGACCTTAGTTCAGCAGTGACTCTTACTTGGGCAGTTTTTTTAATTGCTTTGGAAAAAAAGGAAAGTGAAAGTGAACGAAAAACCTCAAAATTTCATGCCAAATGAGCGACAGGCCTATAAATAAGATATAACCCTAAAAATACCTTCATGTTTTAGCAGCAGTATTTTGAATTTTGCTCATCAAACCTTTATAAAAGATTTTTCTGCTTTACAACTATGGCTCAAGAAAACCACAGAAAGGGTCGCCTGAATGGAAGTGACCACTGACATTAATGCCCTCGAGGGTAGGTAGCAGAGCCTCTGCTTGGCGTTTGGCATGAACCAGATGCAGTTCCCTAGGGTAACCTGGGGCAGCAGCTTTCCACAAACCAGTCCTGATAACCTGCAGACCTGAGTGAACATGAATACTCAAGTCCGTCCCAGGCTTAAACTTACGAAATGTTCTGTTTAACAAGTGAGAAACCCAATCCTGGCAAGAAACTCTGACCCCTTTTAAACTACACAATACTTCTGTCTTTCCCAGTTCAGATCTTCTAATAGGCTCAAATGTAACCTGCTTTTTACTGCATGTTAGCAGAACAGTGTTCTTAACTGACCTAGATAGAATAATTCATTTTCACTGTAATTGTCCAAAAAAAATTGCTTTTCCCAATTTGAACTGCAAGTACAATTTATCTGGATCTTTAGAAACCACAACTAACAATCATGAAGTGAAAAGATACATGACTGTATGTTAGAGGAAGTTTTATGCATATCCTTTATGAAAACTTACCACCAACGTGCGGCCAATGATGGAATGGACTCCTGAGAGTGAGATCACAGAATCTTCAATTGACACACTGGCCACACCATCTTTACCAGCAGTCACATTGCCCAGGTCTCCAACATGCCTGATAATGAAAAAGCATCAGATGGATTAGGGCTCATTCCACTAGACATCAAGGTGGTTCATGAGCTAAATTAAAACCTGACTGAGTAAACACAAATTTGAAAACAAGTAGCTAGGCATTCTAGACACAGCTCTTCCAACAAGGCTTCAAGTCTACAGACTAATGCTCTGGGAAGAAAGATGGGGGTGCACCTCGTTTCAGAAGTACCAAAGGGTAAATTCTCAGTTACTGAGTTAAGCCTGTTAATTTCTGGCATAGCTAACAAAGCGATGGCCCAGGGCCTCTGTTACAAAAATAATCTTGTCCTTTAATATTTTCCTGAAAGGCTTTCAGAAAAGACGCATACAATGGAGTCTCAACTAGTTTTCAATTTCGATTTTTTTTAATCTAAGAAGCTTCCTATGTTTCATAATGATGACTGATTTTGCTAGTGGTTGACAGTACTGTTATTCATGACATTTCCTGTATTAGTTCCCTATGGCACTTGTATTAGTTCTATATTCAATAAATGCTACAAAACCAAATCGTTTTAAGTGTCCCCATTTGTCAACTCCTTTAACCCAGCAAGTAAGCATTCCAGCATTTGGGGGCAGGGGGTTAGGTGAGAGTCGAGTTCAAAAGCAAAGGTGGGGAGAAGACGGAACTACCTTGGCACATATTTATAGCAGTACACCGCATGGACTCCAGAAAGCTACCACCACTATCAAGAGAGTTAAGTATCTTGTTGCTCACCTCTCTTCATCCTCTGGCCCACCATGTTTTCTGGATAGAGGATTAAAGTGAGGACCTGCACTGGTACAGCCTATTCACAAGAAAAAAAAAGCCAAATTATGAATTAAAGTTCCCAAATACATTCTAAAACACTGCTACAACTTCCACCGAGAGAGCAAAGGCCTGCATCATGACTTTGGGATAAGCAACACCTTGGTACAGGCACAGTGAGAAGGGAACAGAAACAAGTTCTATGGCCAGGCATGGAGGCTCACACCTGTAATCCCAGCACTTTGGGAAGCTGAGGTGGGTGGATCACCTGAGGTCAGGAGTTTGAGACCAGCCTGGCCAACATGGCAAAACCCTGTCTCTACTGAAAAAATACAAAAAGTAGCTGAGCATGGTGGTGCACACCTGTAGTCCCAGCTACTTGGGAGGCTGAGGCAGGAGAATCGCTTGAACCTGGGAGGCAAAGGTTGCAGTAAGCTGAGACCACACCCCTGCACCCCAGCCTAGGTGACAGAGCAAGACTCCGTCTCAAAAATAAACAAACAGTTCTAACTACTGTCAGAACCTTGTAAAGTTAATAGCCTTCTCTAGGCTTTGGCTTCCTCACTGTAAAATAAGGGGACCACAATGATCTTCAGCAGTTTTTCTATTAAAATCCCATGGTTATGATCCAAATTTTTAAGAATGTAGTATTCTTTACAAAAATCTCATCTCCCCAGCAACATACTATCAAGCAGTTCTATCTGTGCCCTTTACTTGGTGCAGGCAGAATATTCAGCATCTTATGTGCCAGGGCCAAGGCTGCTGCCTTACACAACTCCAGGGGGTGGCATTCCGACTGTATCCTGCATAGAGGGCACTCCTGTGCACCAGGGGATGACAGCCTCGATGGCACAGGAGGCCCTTTCATAACACGGCTGTCTTCATTCAGCAGCACCCCCCGAGCCCAGAGTCCCACACCGGGAGAAAAGCAGGCAAGTTACAGGATGCAGCAGGACAATCACCTCCCAAACCAGAGGCGGAAAAGCCAAAAAGCAACTTGGGGAATTTCAGCAATTTCGGAAATGGATCCAATTTGATTATTCAAAATCACTATTTGGAACTAAATTAGCAAGATGAATAAAGTTAATTTAAGAAGACATCTATAAACAAAAAATTCAGATTATTATTCAAATATGGCAAAAGATCACTAAATGCAATTTAACCCATAAACGTTTGTGAACTTGCTTCGAATCCCAAATTAAGAAAATAAAACTCGGGTTGGGCCTGGTGGCTCAGGCCTGTAATCCCAGCACTTTGGGAGGCCAAGGTAGGTGGATCATGAGGTCAGGAGTTCAAGACCAGCCTGGCCAATATGGTGAAACTCCACCTCTACTAAAAAAAAAAAAAAAAAAAAATTAGCTGGGCGTGGTGGCATGGGCCTGTAATCCCAGCTACTCAGGAGGCTGAGTCAGAGAATGGCTTAAACCCAGGAGGCGGAGCTTGCAGTAAGCCGAGATCATACCACTGGGCTCCAGCCTGGGTGACAGCTATGAGACTGTCTCAAAAAAAAAAAAAAAAAAAAAAAGAAAGAAACTTGGCATTTCTCCGAACCTACTCTGGTTCAGGGGCTGTCTGATTTTTAAAAATATTTAAAAAAATTTTTTTAAAAGCTTATTCCAAAGCACCAATAATCATCTACATTCCGTCTTCAGTTTGCATCATACTTTTGTCCCACTAAGGAGCCTGTGTTTGGGGCATGCTCTTATATGGCATTATGCAAATAAAACAGCCCGTTCGCTTGAGGCACCCACCCTCAACCCCCAGCTCAAACACCTGGGATCACTCCCAAGAGTTAAGAGCTCAACTTATTTTCTATTGCATTCTTTAAAAAGCACCCTCTACTACAACGAAGGCGTAAGACAAAAAACATCAACTCTTTTCCACACCTGGGTGTCAAAGACCAGTTTTGCAGCTAATCTTAAGGTTGATCATAGTTATTTCACCTTGACTTTGTTGTTTGTTTGTTTCTAAAGATTTACTACACCAAATCTTAAGACAAAGGACACTGGACATTAACAAACAGGTCTACCCCAGTCTTCACAATCTAGTGCAATTACTTTTCTTCCTGTCTCACTCTGCTAGCATTATTACAAAAACAAGATATGGTCCTAGTTTTTGTAATTTTAGCACAGTGCTTATACAATAAAGTTGACCTCTTTTATTTATTTATTTTTTTTGAGACGGAGTTTCACTCTTGTTACCCAGGCTGGAGTGCAATGGTGCGATCTCGGCTCACCGCAACCTCCGCCTCCTGGGTTCAGGCAATTCTCCTGCCTCAGCCTCCTGAGTAGCTGGGATTACAGGCACGCGCCACCATGCCCAGCTAATTTTTTGTATTTTTAGTAGAGACGGGGTCACCATGTTGACCAGGATGGTCTTGATCTCTTGACCTCGGGATCCACCCGCCTCGGCCTCCCAAAGTCCAGGATGGTCTCGATCTCTTGACCTCAGGATCCACCCGCCTCGGCCTCCCAAAGTACTGGGATTACAGGCGTGAGCCACCGCGCCCAGCCAGTTGACCTCTTTTTTAAAAGAAGAGTTGAGGGTTTTGCCAGGCACAGTGGCTCACACCTGTAATCCTAGGACTCTAGGAGGTCAAGGATGGACTGCTTGAGCCCAGCAGTTCAAGACTAGCCTGGGCGACATGATGAAACTCCACCTTTAGAAAAAATACAAAAATGAGCCAGGCGTGGTGGTGTGTACCTGTAGTCCCAGCTACAGGCCAAGGCATGAGGCTCACTGGAGCCTGGGAGGCCAACAGTGAGCCATGATCGCACAGCACCACTGCACTCCAGCCTGGGTGACAGAGCAAGACCCTGTCTCAAAAACAAAAATGAGTTGAGAGGTTTTAATGTTTAGGGGCTACTGAGTTTATCTAACTAGGCTAAACAAGAATGGGTCACCAGCACAACACAACACTCACCTTGTGTGTTGTCTCCAAACTGATGAACATGGAATCCATGCAGGCCTTCAGCCAATCCTGTAATGCTTCCCCACACCTTAACTGGTCCATTACTTTCCTTTAATCAAAGAAAAGTGCGAGAGAGTTACTGAACCAAGAAAACAGCTGATTTACCTTTACCCCTCACAGGCAAGTAAAAAACCAGACTTGGGAATGGAAAAATCTGTGTCCAAATCCCAGGCCCACCACTTTCTAGCCAGTGAACCTCCAGCAAGCTGCTTAACTGCTCTAGGCCTGTGTCCTGAAAAGGGAGATGGCAATGTCCCGCACTCAATTTGCAAGTGCTGTGGCTAGGCTTTGTGATTAAGTAACATAAAAAGCATCTAACAGAGTGGTAAGCATAGAGTACCTACACATCAGGGTTAGATACTTTGTAGGGTTTGACTATTACAGTAAAAATGTAATATTAAGTACCTATTTATTTAGTAAATACTTTAAACAGGCCGTATCTGTACATGTTGAATATACATGCACGTGTAAACTTTTTTAACCCAAAGGTGTATGTCTCATCCTACACTCCTTAGCACCTTGCATTTTCTTCATATAGACGCTCTTCCATATGGCATACAGACATGACTCTTAAAAGGAAAAGGCACCCTGGAAATGTCCAACAGGCAACCCTAGGACCCCTGCTCCCCACTCCCCCACTCAGTGAGTGTTTTTACGTTTCCATCATAGGTTTTTGTTTTTTCTTTTTTTTTCAGATGGAGTCTCACTCTGCCGCATAGGCTGGAGTGCAGTGGTGCAATTTCGGCTCACTGCAACCTCCACCTCCCGGGTTCAAGCGATTCTCCATCAGCCTCCTGAGTAGCTGAGATTACAGGTGCATGCCACCACACCCAGCTAATTTTTCACATTTTTAGTAAGCACGGGTTTCACCGAGTTAGCCAGAATGGTCTCAATCTCTCGTGATCCACCTGCCTTGGCCTCCCAAAGTGCTGGGATTACAGGCGTGAGCCACTGCACCCAGCCACGTATTCTTAATTCGCAGTCAGAAACTATCCTATTCCACTTCCCGTGGGAGAGGACTTATTCCAGTCTAACCAGAGATACTAGTGTTTTCTAAAATCTTTTCACGCACTGAAACCTAGATAACCTTTCCACTCTACCACGAAGATAAACAGGATCGCCATTCAAGTAATGGTGACAGGTAATGGTGCTCCGTGGCTATATACAGAAATCAAGAAAGTTACAACTAGATCTGACTAAAATAGACACAGTCATACAACACGTTAGTGTCTCTTGTTTTTAGCTTGGTTTGTTTTCAAATAGGCAGGGCCAACAATTAAGAAGCATTAGCCTTTAAGAGGTGACTTTCCACTGGAAAATACCACTGCTCAAACAAAGTCTTCTGGCAATTGCTGCCTTTTAAAATTGTTTTCTTTTTGAGAACAGATGCCATGACCCTTTTACAACCTTTAATTTTGAAAAGAACTCAACTGTTAAAAGTTGTCCCTCAAACACTCTATTAAGACCACAGAGCCAAAAAGAGCAGGTTCTTTCAAACCTCCATTTAACAGGTAATGCATTGGGAACACGTAAGCGGCTGTGCCTGGGTACAACCCTACAGGGACCAGGCTGTTAACTTAGGAGAATGACACAGGCCTGGGAAGTGAAAAAAATACACGAACTGCTCCAGCTGTGCTGCCCTTGGGCCAGTGAAGGCTCAGTATGAAGAGATCTCCAAAAACTCTCCAAGAGAAGCTAGGAGCGTTTTAATTAATAGGTGAAAAATTCTGATTTGCAAAAGCTGGCAACGAGTCCAAGATTTTAAACATAGAATGGGCCAAGCCAAGTAGTTTACAGCCAATTATCTCTGCATATCTGGAGAGCCGGAATGCTCCACTCTCCAAGCGTCTTTCTCAGGTACAACGGGCATCACCAAATGAAGCCTGGAGCTTAAGAGACGGAACTCTGCAAGCTGCTCAGGGAAGGGAGAAAATGACAGAAACCTGGGTTCACGCACGGATTCTCAATGGCCCAGGAGAGGGGATTCCTCAGAGGCTCTTAAAACTAGTACTGGTGAATTATGTGGGGAGAACTCAAGAGGGACACAACCAAGTGACAAATGAAACCTGCAAAATGAAGTCAAATGGCAAAGAACCTTTTCCAGAAAATCTGGAGGCCTATGAAAGAAAAAAGCTGGCCCGGCGCGGTGGCGCACGCCTGTAACTTCCACCACTTTGGAAGGCCGAGGCGGGTGGATCACGAGGTCAGGAGATGAAGACCATCCTGGCCAACATGGTGAACCCCCCACCCCGCCTCTAGTAAAACAAAAATTAGCTGGGCATGGTGGTGCACGCCTGTAGTTCCCAGTTACTGGACAGGCTGAGGCAGAAGAATCACTTGAACCAGGGAGGCGGAGGGTGCCGTGAGCAGAGATCGCGCTCCTGCACTCCAGCCTGGGCGACAGAGCGAGACTCTCTCAAAAAAAAAAAAAAAAGCTAAACTTGTATCTCCCTCACATAAATTTCAGACACTTACACAGACTGTTCCTGTCCTCTCCTGTTTCTGTACATCCCTTTAAAGACGGAATCTCATTCATACGGTAAATATCCTCTCGATTTTTAAGCCGAGTACGAGACAATTTTCCACCAGTTGGTAAGTTCGCTAAGGTTCTGGGGACACTGTTATCACAACCGCCTTTCTGGCAACTCGTTTTGCAATTTTACTGATAACAGTTCTGAAAATATTTCTGTATATTTTATCCTACAAGATTCGTTGAGAAGTTTGTCTCTGACCATCTTAGCAACCTGCCTAATGGCAGAGCAATTTTAAAGCCACTTTACAGAGAAGTTGGCTTCAGAAATGCTCCGACTAGTTATTAAGTGCCAATTCGGTGTAATGGAAACTCCAATTCTTCTAATTTGCAAACCCTAAACCCCACCCACTGACCTCAAAGAACAGTTCTAAATCGTGGGTGCACATCGAAATCACCTTGGAAACTTCTAAAACCTGGCATTACTCACCCTGCACCAGGGCAGGTTTGGATGTAATTGGTCTGAGGCTGGGCTCTGGTGTCTGTATTTTTACCAAGATCTTCAAATGAGGTAACTGTGCACCCAAAATTAAGAATCACTGCCCTCGAAAATCCCCGAAAGGGTCAGTTAAATCTCTGGCTTTCGGAGCTTAGGAAGAGGAAAAGGACCTCTGTCCAAGGCTACCTTCTCTACCCTTGCAGCCCAACCATGACCTAGAACAGACCTAAAACAGTCAGCAAACTTTCTTGCAAAGTGCCATACGAAACGGTCTCTGCTGCGTATTTTTCTTTTCCAAAGTCTTTTAAAGATATAAAAAATATTCTTAGCCTTGGAGCTGTATACAAAAGAGGAGACTCCCTGACCTAGAGCGCTGAAGTCGGAAAATGGAGAAGGATGCGAACACCAGGGGTCCCCCCGCGCAGTCGCCACCCCCGGGACCCACAGAACGAGAACACTCGGCGTCCACGGGACCCACAGAACGAGAACACGGCCAGGCAAGCGAGGAGCACAGCGGCTCCAAGCACCACAACCGACCCAGCGGCGGGGGTCCACCGACCCCAGAGGGCAGCACGCCCGCGCCCGCCCCCGCCCCTCCCCGGCCGCGGCAATCCCTCCCCGCGCTCCCGCCACGCGCAGGCCCAGCCCCGCGGCGGCCTCAGTCCCACACCCCGCACCCGGGCCCGGGCCCGCCCGGTGACTCAGCATTTAGCGGACGCCGCACCGCCGTGGACGAAGGCACCGACCGAGCGGTACCGACCGGGGCCGGGGCCGGGGCCGGGCGCCGGACCAGGACAGCCCCGAGGCCTGGCTGACGGCCCGCTCCAAGTACAGATGCGTGGGCGGGCAAGCGGACGGGAGAGGTCTCGCCACGAGCCTCCGCCCCGGCCCTTGCCTTCTGCTCGAAATTGATGGTGCCCTGCACCGGGCCGTCGCCCTTCAACACGCACACCGCCTTCATCGCCATCACTCGCGAGGCCACGCCTGGATCCGGGTTCCAACGACTGCCAGAGAAACCACAGACGCTGCAGAAGAGAACGGCGCAAACCCAAGCGAGAGCGCCGCGGGCACTTTATAGGCCGGACCTACGTGCACCACCCACTCTGGCCCGGAGCCAATCGCCCTGCGCGCGCTCAGCCCGCCTTCTGCCGCAGCCTCGGGTCGTCAGTGGCCGGGAATGACCGGGGGCGGGGCCAAGGGGCCGCGTGCGCCGCAGACTTCCCCCGCCCCACAGCCCGGAAAGGTCCAGAAACCCGAAACGTGGAAAAAAACCACATCTTTCTCCAAACGGGCGCGTCGCCCGCCGAATGCAGGACGCGACATTGGCAAAATGAGGTACACATGGTACGCCTTGGCGATCTGAAGTCACTTTATCTAGAAATGTCATTAGTTATGACTGATTTTGGTCACAGCGTCTCATTTGTTACTCAGAAATTGGGACGTACCAAGATGGATGCTTTTGTAGTTTTCATTTTTTTGTCTTGGTTTTCAGTTTTCTGAAGGTGTAGGAAGTCGTTACACCTCAATCCCCGGCCTCCCCTTTTTTTCCCCTGCAATTTTTTTAGTCCTAGCACAGAGTTTATTTGGTTGGCAGAATTCCATACGCCTACATTTTTCCTCTGCAGGACCACAGCCCTACAGATAACCAAAACGGTAACTAGGTGGCTTCTACGCATCTCCTGCGTTTTTGTCTGGCTCCAAGGCCACAACACTCAAGGAGAAGGATAGAATGATGACATAATTTATGATCCCTCCATAAAACAGGATGATAAAGATGACTTATCTTTCAAGGGGAGTATTTCAAAAGCATATTATGAAATGAGAAAATAGTACAAACTACTTTTTCGGGGGGGGTAATTTTTTGTTTGTTTTTGAGACAAATTCTCGCTCTGTCGCCCAGTCTGAAGTGGAGTGGTACGATCAAGCTCACTGCAGCCTCGACCTCCTAGGTTCAAGCGAACCTATTGCATCAGCCTCCCAAGTACCTGGGACCACAGGCATGCAACACCACACCCGGCTAATTTTTGTATTTTGAGTAGAGACGGGGGTTTCACCATGTTGCCCAGGCTGGTTTCAACCTCCTGAGCTCAAGCCAGCCATTTGCTCTCTTCGGCCTTCCAAAGTGCTGGGGTTACAGATGTGAGCTACCACGTCCAGCCTAGCATTTAGTTTTGAGCATGGCAAAATACTGAGACTTAATTCAAGTCCAGTATGAACAACAGAAGCTACTCCAGCCTTGTTTGGAGTACACTATTATCTATGTATTTACTTACTTATTATTTATGTTATTTAGACCCTCAGACTCTAATGCATCCCCTATCAGAGAAACACAATTCACATTTTTTGATCATCCTCCAGAAAGTATACATAATTGTAGTTTTGCTTGTTGTATTTAGTAGTTTCCAGATAATTAGTATATTCTAGACGGTTACATAAACAGTTCAAACGCTTGCCAAATGGCCTTTGCCCAAGGCTGAAGTTTCTTTGGGTTCCAGGAAGTTCAGCAGATTTCAGTTCATTGTAAACTTGCCAAGGGAGCCACCCGTCGACACGAGAGCTGCTTTGGGACGGTGAATTACTCTTCTTTTGAGATGGTCTGATGATGCCAGCGTGGTGCCTTCCTACGACGATCCTTACACCTGAACAAGGAAGTCCCATACTTTAAAGGGCCCTGTTCTGTCCCTCTTCCAGCATCAACTCCCATGGAGAAAAGAATGTGTTGAGGCCATATGTGGTGGCTCACGCCTGTAATTCCAGCACTTTCGGAGGCCAAGACAGGAAGATCACAAGGTCAGGAGTTTGAGACCAGCCTGGCCAGCATGGTGAAACCCCATCTCTACTAAAAATACAAAAAATTAGCTGGGCATGGTTGAGCACACCTGTAATCTCAGCTACTCGGGAGCCTGAGGCAGGAGAATTGCTTGAGTTGCAGTGAGCTGAGATCGTGCCACTGCATTCCAGCATGGGCAACAGAGCGAGACTTCATCTAAAAAAGAAATGTGTTGAAGCCAAGAAGGTGCTCCTCCCAAGAACATCGTCTCTCCTGGGACAGGGTTAAGGAATTCAGCTTCGTGATAATTAAGGGTTTCCTAATGCAGGATGTCAAATCTGGGCACTATGGACATTTTGGGCCAGATAACTCTGCTGTAGAGGCTGTCCTGTCCACTGTAGGGTGTTCAGTAGAATCCCTAGCCCCTGCTCACCTACTCATTAGATGCCAGTAATACCCTCCCCCTCCCTGCCAGGCTGGGACAACCAAAAATAATTCCAGACCTTGCCAAATCACTCTCAGTTAAGAACCACTGTTTATTTTTATTTATTTAGATATGGAGTCTCACTCTGTCGCCCAGGCTGGAGTGCCGTGGCTCACTGCAACCTTCACCTCCTAGGTTCAAGCAGTTCTCCTGCCTCAGCCTCCCGATTAGCTGGGATTACAGATGTGCGCCACCACACCCGGCTAAATTTTTCTATTTTTAGTAGAGATGGGGTTTCTCCATGTTGGCCAGGGTGGTCTCTAACTTGTGACCTCAAGTGATCCACCCACCTTGGCTTCCCAAAGTGCTGGGATTACAGGCATGAACCACTGTGCCCTGCCAGGGACCACTTTTCAGAACATCACTTGAGTACCAGCACCCCGGAATCTCCTGCCCAAAGAACCCTGAGCCTGTATATAGGATCCCGAACAGGCCACGCAGGGACTATTCCTCATTGAGTTCACTGCTAGCCTTGAACATAGTCCCCGCCCAGTGCCACTAGGAGCAGGACTGGGGAAAAAAGGACAGGCCAGGGGCGGGCAGGCAGCCAGCTCTCTACTGCCAGCCTTCTACACAGAACTGAAAGAAGTCCAAGAATTCCACATTTGAACGTGCCTCCCAGGTCTTTTTGAAGGTATATTTCTTAAGACAGGCTGACAGAACATATTTTATGTAGCTGTGTCCTCATGATTTATTATATCTAAGCATTTGGCAGATGGTATTAGGGCCTCTATCTGTGCTCTTGTCTCAGCCCTGCAAATGTTCGGGCAGGCCTGTTCATTCCCACCTGGAAACTCCATGATCCTATGACTGTGGGGCTCCTGCCCCATAATATATCACAGAGTCCATGTGTTTCAAACTGGATTCAAACGTTGTTGTTGTTGGAGACAGAGTCTTGCTCTGTCACCCAGGCTGGAGTGCAGTGGTACAATCTTAGCTCACTGCAACCTCCACCTCCTGGGTGCAAGCAATTCTCATGCTGCAGCCTCCTGAGAGGCTGGAATTACAGGCATGCACCACCACGCCAAGCTACTTTTTGTATTTTTAGTAGAGATGGGGTTTCATCATGTTGGCCAGGCTGGTCTCAAACTCCTAACCTCAAGTGATCTGCCCGCCTTGACCTCCCAAAGTGTTGGGATTACAGGCGTGAGCCACCTCAAGTATGTACTCAAGCCCAGCCTCAAGTATGTAATTTTGAAGAGTTCGCTCTTGTACCAGGCCAGTTCCATTGATAGTCTCCTAGAAATCAACAGAATCCTAAGGTAGCCTGAGTTGTTTGGAATCCTGGAACGTAGCTTGAATCTGACACATGTAATTAGCCAGGCATGGTGGTACGTGCCTGTAGTCCAAGCTACTTGGGAGGCTGAGATAGGAGGATCGTGTGAGCCCAGGAGGTTGAGGCTGCAGTGAGCTATGATTGCACCATTGCACTCCAGCCTGGGCAACAGAATGAGATCCTGTCTCAACAATAATCATCATCATCATGCTGGGGTATGTAACTTAAAATTAAAAACAGGGAAATCAGATGAGAGGGAACTTTGCACTTGAACTCCAGGGTATAAGGAATCAGAACAGGCAAGACCCTGTCTCAAAAAAAAAGAAAAAGAATGTGGCACATGTAAACATGTAGACAGTCCAATCTTATCAGGAATGGTGAGGAGGAATAGATGCCTCAAATCAGATGGCACCATGTGCAGATGACAAAGCTGCTTGTAATGCGTCATTTCAGCCTTCCTGGGAAGGAAAATTCATGTTTGGGGACCTCTGTGATGAAAGGTGGGCAACAGCCAGGTGTGGTGGCTCACGCCTGTAATCCCAGCACTTTGGGAGGCCAAAGTGGGCAGATCACATGAGGTCAGGAGTTGGAGACCAGCCTAACCAACACAGAGAAACCCCGTGTCTACTAAAAATACAAAAATTAGCCAGGCGTGGGGGTGGGCACCTATAATCCCAGCCACTTGGAAGACTGAGGCAGGAGAATCACTTGAACCTGGGAGGCAGAGGTTGCAGTTAGCCGCAATCACACCACTGCACTCCAGCCTGAGCGACAGAGTGAGGCTCCATCTCAAAAAAAAAGATGGGCAAAAAGGTAAAAAAGGGTAGGCCAGAAATTCTTTTTTTTTATTTTTTTTTTGATATGGTGTTTCTCTCTGTCCCCCAAGCTGTAGAGAAGTGGTGCAATCTTGGCTCACCACAGCCTCACCCCACTGAGCTTAAGTGATTCTCCAGCTTCAGCTTCCCAAGTAGCTGGGACTACAGTTTCAATAATACTCTCTAGACCTCAGCTGCAAACCAAAGGCACCTGGCCTAGATGCAGTGTTTGTCAACCCTGGCTGCACAACAGAATCACCCAGGCAGTTAAAAACAAACAAAACACTGTGCTTAGGCCCAACTATATTGAAATCTTAAAATTGTATATCTTTACTCTGTAAATACACATTTCATTGCCATAAGAGTCATAAGAAACCTCAGTGGTTATCAGTGGAAATGGGCTGCTTATCTGTGCACTTTTTGTCACAAGAGAAAAATAAACCTTTGTTTGGTTAAAGAGCATAACCAGATTTCTGTTATGTGCAGTCAAAAGCAATTTCTAACTGATAGAGATGAGAAGCCACCAGAGGGGTGTCCGCAGGGAGCCAGGATGGTCTCTGGAATAGCTGAGTGGGTGGACCGAGAGCAGATGGGGTGAGACTCAAGGCAGACAGGTCATTTGGGAGACAGGATAAGAGCCCGCATAAGGCCATTACTGGACGAAAGCTGGGAGATCGTGGAAATGCATCCACAAGCCCAGCCACTCATTACCAGTGTGTATTGAGAGAGGAAGGTAAGGGCAGCCCCAGGTTTCTAGCCTGCTTGGTACTGTTTAACAGGGAAAGCAGGT